TCCTGAATAAATAGGCTATAAATTGCACATATTATGTCACATGCGAAGGGAGAAACAATTCTAAATAATGTCATTAAATTATATGATTAGTAAATATTCTTTTCTCAGACAAGAGAAATATCAGATAAAATTATTATCAATATATTATAAGTACTCATAAATTATAATATTTAAAAAACCTCAGTACCCACACTAAAGAGGTTTCGGCTTCTGTGGATTATTACTCTGTTACATTGATCTACTTAGAGCGAATCGAGGATATTAAGTTGAGCATACATGTCTAAGTTGCAGTGTGTCAGTTCATAAGGTTATATACCAAAGAAGGACATGTTTAGTCTTTGCAAGCCTTATATACAAAAACGTGTACAAAACTAAGTAAAATAGAATTCAAAATTAATAAAATTATATTAAACATAATATAATTAAGTCTGTGCCTCTAAATAAAACTAAAAAAAATGGAATGGCAGTTTACATGCCTTCTCAAATATGTAAACATTTACACTCAACCATAAATTTATTCAATTTATCTTTAACTTGAATTTATATTATTAGCATAATACCGATTAATTTTCTATGTAATTTTTATTTGATAATAATTTATATAGTACATTTTACATAAAAAAATATGTACACAATTTTTTATTAAGTACAAACTATATGACAATAATTTGTAATATAATGATTATATTTTTCAAATCTTTAAGCGACAGTCTTAAGATAATACTGTCGCAAGTCTAATCCATTTAACGCCATAGAAGTGCTAAGTTTACAATTTGTATGCAGATTCACGCCACCAAAGATATGTCCGCTATATTAAGGACGCGTATTGAATATAAATAATTTTGCTTCCATACTTCTTACTTTGGTCACGTAACCATTGTTGGACTTCCGAATGGGAAACTAGTTAGGATAATGTAAAACGTAACTTTTTCAATATGAATGAATTTCAAAATATAATTTATTTGTATGATATTCAGATTTTAAAGATGAATTCGTCTAAGTTATGATAGAACGTTTTATTTAAACACAGCTTTAGTCTACTTTCATGTTTTTAATTCAACGAAGTTATTTGTAGGTAGTCTTGAACATTATTACTTTAAAATATTTGGTGAAAATTGAATTTTATTTTGAATATTGTGTTTTATGTTACTCTGTTTCTTTTCAATCAATCTAAAACCTCTATAATATCTAAATAATTATATTTATTATATATGGCAAGAAAGGAAGGCTGTGGTAGCCCAGTGGTAACGCGCTCGCTTGGGCAACTGAATGAAGCAGGTTCCAATTCCGGGTCTCGCACCTCTGATATTTTCATGTGCCAATGATTACCACTTGTCTTAATGGAGAAGGAAAACGTCGTGGGGAAACCTGCATGTCTGAGAGAATCTAGCAAGTTTTCGTAAGACATATGAATTTCGCTAACCCGAACTGAGCCAGCGTCGTGGACTATGGCCTGATACCCCTTGCATTAGAGGGAGACCCGTGCCCAGCAGTGGCCAGTGGGACATTAAAAAGGGTTGAATATGTACACTTTTTTAACTATATCTAAGGAAAATGTTTCAAACCTAATGCTAATATTTTATAAAAATTCAATCACAACAACATGTAACTTAAGTATCTAAAACACGTGCTCAATAAATTATAAAGTGTAATAATTTGCACGGTTGGATTTTCCACTTGGAAAATCATTGTTTGTTCTGTACGAGAACTAGCGTTCATAGATTTTGTCGTCATTTATTTTCGTCTTTTGTTATTTAAACAAATTTATACAGATAAATAAAATTGTAGTGTCTGTTTGAAATGTCAAAATAACAGCATTTTACTAAATGCATATGGATGGTACATAATTATCAAAACAACATTTTTTTCAATTTTTGTCTGTCTGTCTGTATGTTCCGGCTAATCTCTGAAATGGTTGGACCAATTTTGACGGGACTGTCACTGGCAGATAGCTGATGTAATAAGGAGTAACTAATGCTACTTTTATTTTAGAAAAAAAGTAGGGTCCCAGGAAAAAAAATTAAAACCAATAAAAAATTTAATAATATCCCATTCAAATAGGGAAGTTGTATACCCTAGGGACGAACCCGAGCGAAGCGAGGGTGAGTCGCTCTTTATATAATATATTATGCAAACTAACAATTTATGCAAAAATCAATATTATGCAAAACAAGCAATTAACATCAAATTTAATATCTATATTTAAAATCATTAAAAAATATTTTTATAAGGATTTAAATTTAGTAGGATTAAAAGAGATCTAAGCATTACTTAGAAAAAAAATATATAAATAATAATAATGCTCTTCTGACCGACTTCGGCCACGAGGGCGGCCAATTTTATTTAACTAGAAATCTGCACAGGAGATATTATATTGCACACTTATGTTACTGAGTCCCCGGGCTCTTACTGAGAATACTAAACTTGGCCTGACCCAACTCGAACCCAGACATCTGGATCTGTGGCCGTACATGCTAGCCACTAGACCACAGAAAATTTTATATAAAAGCACAGTTGCATGCTAATATATAAAAGCCAGATATGTGATTGTCTATTCGATATCGTACTAGTATAAATAGGAGCTCAATATCTGCATTCTATACATGCAATAAAATTCTGAGTCAAATCTGTACATTACATATTTTTTGGAAAATCTTATTGAAATAGTCATTATTCTCTTCACGACCGCGGACACGCCGGCGTGTCAGTTAACAATAGATTTCTTAGAATTTTATTTAATTTCTTAGAAATTTACCTGGAGGTGTTATTATCGATACAGAGGTCTATAGTTTTTAGAATTTTGGTCTGTCTGTATGTCTGTTTGTCTGTCTATCAGTTTGTCTATCTGCCTGTCTGGGAAAGCATCACGAGAAAACCACTGGATAGATGTTGATGAAATTTGGTATGATAATAGCTAGTTATCTGGGTCAACATATAAGGTACTTTTTACTGCGGGAAGATATCTCGTCTCTGAGAAATCTCTGTTATCCGTTAGAACTTACCAAGAGATGGACCTGAGCGGAGCGAGAGTGAGTCGCTAGTACATTATATAATTATTCAGAGATTACAGGTAAGTTTTAGTTTTCTTTATAGACAGGATTACCTGCTTCTATCTCTTCATTTGTGTGGAATGACTATAGTTTCTAAAGTTTCATATAAAGCTTACACACATTTTTCCCTTCCTTCCCTTTAGATGTAAATCTTAAAATTATTTTTTACCGAACCCCTGAAAACAAAGTATCATCTCACCTTTCATGACTCAAGCTAAAATATTTTGTGAGATTTCGTCATTAATAATTGAGTCAGTTTGTGTCTCGGGTTCGTCCCTAGGTACCTACGTTTTAATTTTTTTTGAGCGAAACCCTAATTCTTTATCTAAAATAAAAATAGCCTATGTTATTCCCTATAACATAAGCTACATTCCAGTGTAATTGTGTTTTTCTTATAAGTATCGTATATAATTTCATATGCATTTAGTAAAACGCTATTATTTTGACATTACAAACAAACACTTCAATTTTATTTATCTGTATAGATGTATAGATACATACATATATTGTTTGGTTCTTGATCTTTAAACACAGTACAGCTCTGCAAAATTACTTTAAAATCAAGTTTTTAATATGCATCCCGTGCACCCGACCTTCGTATTACCATACAAATGAATATCTAGCGAAGATGATTTATAGACTATCGCCGTTATGAATTTATTATACGGAAATTTTGGTAACATCTTGAAACTTGGGCTTTAATATACATGATTGTCAAAAGTTTTTTTATTTAAATAATCATTTCTTCCGACATTTCTTATGAGGAAAGTATTTTCTTTGTATCTTTTAAGTGCTTTTTGGTGACACCATAGTCTTCCTATGGGAATTCATATTTAAGGAAAACGTATGTTATTTCAGGATCTTCTATATATAAATAGGCAAAGACAAAACAGTCCAGTACCTTTTTCTTCTCTGTTTGTAAGCCGATTTTCTTTTTTTAGTAGCTATTGCTACTTTTATTGCTATTTACGAGCTTAAGTGTTATCAATTAAAAAATTGGTAGCATTTTTTATATATTTTCCTCAAGATTTCAATAAAAATTATGTTCAAACCTCAACGAACTTGGCAAAAACTAATACATTTAAAAGCTTCAAAATAACGCACTGTAGTCGTCAAAAATAATTAAATAAGAACAAACTATATTAGTTGTTAAATCCTTAACTAGCAGTAGATCTACTTAATGTAGCAATATATCCGGGAAGGAAAACCAGGTAGAGTCTTTACATTTGCTCTATTGATCCAGCAAAGACAATAACAGAACGTGAATAACTATTGTTAGTAGCTATAGCATAAACAAACACACATACAAATCTCTTTATTATACAGTAGAACAATAAACAAAAGCAATGAATGGTTTCCATATAATCCACTTTAGCGTGACAGTCACTTCGGTCACTTGCATATTTCCTCACTGACTCATTGCTTTGCATTCAAATAGAGACGTTAATTTACTATATTTATAGGATTTATCTGCATGACTATTGTAGTAAAATTAATTCGAAGGTGTGTTTATTAATCTTAATCTTAAATGAAGGTATGTTTGTTAATCTTTCACGTTGCGACGACTGGACCGATTTGGATAAAACTTATTACACACAGACAGGTTATGAACTGGAATAAAATATACGCTATGGTTAGTAATAAAATTTGACAAAAGGTGGCGCTGCTTTTATATCGCATATGCAGGTTATATAAATGAATGCGAAAGTTTTTATTTGTGTGTTTAATATAAATACAAAGGGCACATGACACTTCGTCTCTTTTGTAGAAGGAAAAATTAATAATTTAACTAAAAGGAAAAATAAAAATAATCTATAAAACTCCTTAAAATTATATACTTTATCTAAAATAAAAATAGCCTATGTTTATTATTTATTCAATATATACAATATATTGAATAAATATTCATTTATTCAATATATTGCAATATATTGAATAAATATTCATTTATTCAATATATTGCATTATCCAATCTAAATAAAGTGTTAAATCTGTAAATGTTATGTCGTGGTCAACACAAAAGCCCTTATCAGTGGGATCAGCCGAGCGTATACCGCGGAGATACCATGTGTTTGTATGTCTTACTACGAACAAACCTCCGTAACTTGGGCATACTGATACGTCTGTAATAAAAAAATATACATACATATATAAATTAATATAATATTATTGTATTTATTTGCAATTAAGAATTTATATAATAATTATTAATACATATAACAAAATTCTAAACTAAGCCGAATACATTAATTTTACATTGTTTAAAATTTTTATTGAAATAGACATTATTGATACAGAGGCCGAATCTATAGTTTTTAGATATTTTGTCTGTCTGTCTGTCTGGGACTGTATCATGGAAAAACCACTGGAGTAATTATAATAATTTATTTCTGTAAGCTTGTTATTTTAAAAATGACGCTTACTTGTCTTTTACCTATTATATTTTCAAACTAAAAATAAGTAACTATAACATCATGAAGATTTTACCCGACTGCGACGAATCCATAAATATTATGTACGTACGTCTCGCAATAGGTATGAACCATGTATGTATGTTTCTGACTGCATAGCACTGTTCTATCATCAGCTTGTTTTCATCTTTAAAACCCTTTACGCAGTCGGGCTTTTTTATATTTATAACTTTTTTTAAATAATAACTCAATTTTTCTAAAAATCAAATAACAAAAATATCAAATAATACTCAACCGTTTTTGTATGAAGCACAAAATGTGTTATTTACTGGAAAATCGTTGCAATTGACAATGCCTTCTGTGTCAAAAGGAATTAGTGTTAGTTCACCTGAAACCGCCCAACCAGTTGTCTGAAAAATAAAATATTTTCTTTACTATACTTTAAAATTTAGTAACATTCTTCCTGGTTTTTACCGCATACAGTGACACGGATACTTATATTTATATACATGCAAAAATTATATTATATTAACGGCTAACCTTCGCTTCGCTCGGGTTTGCCTCTAGAAAAACAAAAATAAACCATCCCACGGGAACCGTACATTTATCTGCGATAAAAAGTAACCTATGTGCTATTCCAGACTATATATAATCTATCTCTGTGCCTTTCATCCAGATCCGTTCATTTGTTATGGCATGATTGAATAACAAACATCCAAACTTTCACATTCATAATATTAGTAAGATTTAAATTTTATTCGCCTATAAAATTTCGAAAATGGATACTAAAATATCTAATTTGCTTATAATATAAAAACGAAATGAAAGAAACCTCGCTAATGGATCTTAATTAATCTTTTATATATTGAAGATCACTAAGTGACTTTAATTTTTTTTTGCCTTTTATTTTTTAAGAAAATGTTCTCAGAAAATCGATTTTTTTATACAATTAGTATGAAAATGTTAAATATGTAGAGAAACAGATAAAAACTAAAAAAACTAACTTCCAGCCATTAAAAAGTAAAAAATAACTGATCGGGGGTTTTCATTTACTATAGATATATCTAATCAGATAGTTTCGAAGTAGGTTCCAGTCGATGCAAAGCAAAGCAAATCTATTTCCATACGTAACTTCGTTGTGGATAAAGCTTGAAGCCTGAATTTTCAGTCACTAAGAGGACATAATATACATAACTAGGTACATTCCCAAATTACATTCAATTTGAATCTACAGTTTAAGAACTATTACAAGTCAAAGTTCTTTAATTTCATCGCTCACAGATCATCAAATGGTTGGATTGATGCTTCCATATATATGTAGATAGGCACTGAATAAATTAACCGACTTGTTTTTAAATTTTTTTGCGGTAGAAGAAATGCGTTGCGAAACTTGCATTTTGTACATGTTATGTTTTTCATGGCATTTATTTATACATACATATATTTATAATATTATCAACATATATTTACATATAAAACGTTTGGAACTGTAAAAAAAATCATAAAAGTATTTTATATAATTTTCTAGGAAATCCTAAATACGTACAAAAGCTTCTCCAAAATCGCCTTCCCCGAAGCAAGCGGTCTGCCTTTTGAGCGAGGTTTCCATTACTAGTATTGCAATATCATTTTCCGGTCGCATTGTGAAATTGTCGTGTATTATAACCTCTTTTACCTGAAAATTTTTCGATTTATATCAGATTTAACTTTAGTTATAGAAAGGCACGAATTTTTATTTTAGTCTAGAGTGAAGTATTTTAAAGAAAAGGTTTTCAAAAATCATTATAATAATTATATTGTATTCTACATTTTCGTTCATCAAAGGTTCGAGTTTTATGTTATTTTAACTACACTGTTCCGAGCTAAGCATTGGCCAAGAAGAAACAGAAAGAAAATACTTTTATATAGACTAAATACAGAAGAGAAGCTTGTAGAATATTATGTTTTAGTAAGTTTTATTGTTCTCATACTCTTTACTTGAGAAAAATTAATTATTAAATTTATAAAATTAACGAAATTTACCTATCTATACAAAAAAATAACTGTATCCAATTTTTTTATTGATAACTAAAGCTCGTCAAAATACTAAATAAAAAACAAACTATACATCTCATATACATATAATAAAATACTAACAAAATCGAACCTATTAAATATTTTTGGAAAATCTTAATAAAATAGTAATTATTATAGATACAGAGGTCGAATATATAGTTTTTTTATTTTTGTCCGTCTGTCTAGGAGGGTATCACAAGAAAACCACTGGACAGATTTTGATGAAATTCGGTATGATGATAGCTAGTTATCCGGGTCAACCTTCAGGATACTTTTTACTGCGGGAAAATGTCGCTCATCTCTGAGTAATCTATACTAAACATTAAAACGTAACTACTATAACTAGAGACGACCCCAAGTAGAGCGAGGGTGAGTCGCTAGTATATAACATAAACTAAACAAGAAATCGTAAGAAACATTAAAATAAGTCTATATCGAAAAAAATATCTTGTGATGTAATTACATGGTACGGTACGGTTAGTGACGCCATCTGAGTTTCTTTCCGCGCAAAACAATAAAATGATAAATTGAATTTACAATCTATTTGGAAGAAGGGATTGTAGAAAAAAATACATATGTTCTATTCTATGGGGAAAAATTATATTTATCGAAGCTGTAGGAAAATAATTGATTACGTTTTTATATAGTACCATAACTTTTCCTCATTTAAAACTAACAAAATCTTATCAAAGTAATTCTATTGGCTCCAATTTGGGAAGTATGTCCAATAAATCGACGACAATTGCGAATAAACAAAGTAAAAAAGCAATCAACTTTGATATAAATCTTATTTGGACAATCTAAAGAATAGTGTTGTATTAAAAAAGCTACTAGCTAGTATAGCTTTACTATACACCTATTCATGTTATAGAAAGCTTTATAATGAAAGCATATTATGAATATTGAAGCTGCTAATATAACGGGCTGTTTTTAGGGTTCCGTACCCAAAGGGTAAAATGGGACCCTATCAGTAAGACTCCACTGTTCGTACGTCTGTCCGTCTGTCACCAGGCTGTATCTCATAAACCGTGATAGTTAGACAGTTGAAATTTTCACATATAAAAAAACCCTAAAAAACAGAATAAAATAATTATGTAAGGGGGCTCCCATACAACAGACATGAGACCTTCGTACGCGAGTCCGACTCGCACTTGACTGTTTTATTTGCTTTTACTCAGCATAGCAAAATCATGATATAGTGATCGGTGATTAATCTTAACGGAACTTCCGCCAAGTGCGAAGGCTGTCAAAAATACCAATGTTTATTGTTCATGGCGAATAGTGGAAAGTTATAGTTACAATCTTAATTTACCGCCCGGATTGGGTGGTAAATTAAGGTCCTTTGTGTTTTCTTCATTCCACGTGACTTGAAAGTAACAACTCGTCTCTGAATTTCATATAAAAGTATATACAAATGCCATTCGGGAGCACTTCTCGCGTCTCATCTCGCACATCCCAATGCTCCTATCGAGATTCTTTCGTTAGACGACTCTAAGGATTAGTAGATAAGAAGTTTTGTAAATTGTTTTTATTAATATGAATGTTCCATCAATCCATACATCATCCCCTTACCAAATATATATATATACATATATAAAGCAGTATAATAATATTGTTACGTTTCGAAAGCCGGTAAGTGAAACTTCCGGAAACTTAAATACTTGTTATCCATTTCCGCTTCCCTCTTGCCATCTATTTCCTTATTCACAGGACAGTAACGCGCTTGTAATACTGGTGATATTGCTACCATATTTAGGCTACAATTACCACTTACCGTTATGCTCCTTGGCTCTCGTATGCTTACCACTTGTGTTGTTTAAAATATTATATCCTTTAATTGTCATCCCTTACCTTAACAGCCATTTCATTTCCATTCATACTTCGTAGCGAAGTCTTGTCTAATAATACAATTATATTTTCCGATTTTGTCCATGTTTCATAGTATTGGAGACATCGTGCAGCTAAAAAAAATTATGAATGCTCAGTTCAATTATCACGTGTAAATATTTATTTCCATATTACGATCTACATATACAAATATTATAAAAAGCTTAATTGATTATGTACGTATATGCCACAATAATAATTCGAATTCCAACAATTCTTTCACGCTTATGTGACACAAATCGAATATATTATAGTTTCGATTTATATTTCGTGAAGATATCTCCGCGAATTATTAATCGAATTCTATGACCCTTTTTTCTAAATGGATTATATCTAAAATATTCCATGTAGTTATTAGAAAAAATCCACTCTTAAAGGTGGAAAAATTTGGTTGGTTTAAAACTTATTTATTTTAGCCAATTTTTGACGAACTCCAACAAGGAGGTACTCAAATTAAAGCAAATCAAAACATATTTTATTCATACAAGTAATATTGAATCGTCAATTTTACATTGTTTTTAATTTAAATGTCACTAAAATATAGCTATACTAGCAGAATCCGCGGCTCGTTCAATCTACAAAAAAATTTTTGGCTTTATGTTATACAGCTATGTATCTATATAATATTGTATATATAAAATTACTAAAATTGCGATTAAAGAAATGTGTGGTGGGGTGATATGGGGAAGGGTGGTGAAAAATACTTTACGAACTATTCTCGTATCTACCAAATATACAAAAAAATCATTAAAATCGGTCGAGCCATTTCAGAGGAGTGCGACCACGAACAGTTTGACACGAGATATTATATCTGCCAAGTATTCCGTGACGGGATAATACTTGTTCATTACTCAATTGGGTTTTTGTATCTTACGATATATTTTCTTTAATTGTAAAACTGACATTCATAATTTTCAAAATTAATTAATATTAATAAATTTAAAAATTGTTTCATATGAATTAAAAAATCCTCTCCTACTGTCATTTTTAATTTTGACATCAGTCAGTAATTTAATTTAAAAAATAATTAATAGCATACACTATTATTAATAGCATATTAAAGAAAATACTTAGCTGTATCATAGAAACGACATTAAAAGAGTTAAAGAATTAAAAAAAAAACATTGAAACGGAAATTTCACAATAAAATTGTAGACAATTTTTCGGGTCACAGCATCTTTTGAAGCTTAAATTATATGATCCTATTATCATAATCACCGCTCGCGTACAAAATATTTTCATCTGTTCACTGCCACAGCCTCATGTATCATTTCCACGCTATAAAACAAATTATGTCTAAGGCATTGAGCAAGATTTTAATCAAATTAGAATTGTTCAAAAGGTTTTCCGTCACTTTTTGATCTTTTGGCACATTGACTTATATTATTAACTGACTGTAAAAACTAGTTCAGTTTTCGTAATATATTAATAGATCTTCATTATTTTAGAAGCCCTTAGGCAAAACTGTTACTATCCTTAACAAAGTATCCAAACTTGTAATTATCACTACTTAGTATATGGACCGAGTTAGACTCGAACCCACTATATCCGTCGTGAAGAAAGGTGGTCGCGATGTCAAAAATAATATGAAAATTTAAGTAATGAATGATGTAGCATTACATACATCTCAGTGGTTTTTAATGTTATATTTCTTTTTAAAAATAACACTTTTAATGATAATAGAGGAAAAACAAAGAAAAAAGTACAAGATAATTTTTGTACAAACTGACTTTCAATAATAATATCAGTATTTCAAAACAAAATGGCAGCGGGCTTTAATTTTTCAGAGTGACGTTTTAATTTTTTAAAAGCGCGAGAGCAGAAGTTATTGTTCGAACTGTCGGAATTGTGATGGTTTCACTTGAACCGTCACGTCAAAAAAGTAGAGTTTGTTTTGTCGCATGCTTATTTTGAAGTAAAATTTGTTAAACATAATATGTTTGCTGTAGTTGCTGTTATATTAATATTTTAGTTCATAATTCTTTATTAAAATAAAAAATATGTACATCATGAAGCTTAAGAATACATAAATTGTCTGATATGTCATTTTTATTTCTTTTCTTTTTAATCTGTGATGTAAACACCACAAATTTTCTATTTAAAAAAAATATTACAACATTCAATAAAAAAGTAATACAGTTTTTTTTTAATATTTAACGCTAAAAACAATCTTATTTGCTAAAATATTTTTTTCTGAAATATCTATATTTTACGACACTGATCGATTGTTTTATGGTTGACTTGAATTCAGGCTTTAACATTAACCTAAATTATTTAATTTATTTACCAACGTACAATGTACATTGATATTCTCGTATCTACGACGTATAGAAATGTCAAAATAAAAAAAGAAAGTGCGTGTGAGTGCAATCCACACATGACAGAAGTGGAACTTAATATTTTATATTTGTTAGACAATAAAACAACAAAGACAAAAAACGGCATATTGAGGGTTCCGTAACAAATAACATGATTTTTTTGAGTCAAAGACCAGAGTTTTAAGTCGGTGTACGTTTTTAGTCATAATAGAAACTCGTAGTATTAACTCCAGGTAAAATTTCTACCATTTACGTGTGTCATACAGCTAGCCATGAACGTGATCAAAATACAAATATATTTCCCTAAAACCTTCTGTAGTGAGAAATCCTTTAGGTATATTATTGTGTACGTCGAGAAATTGCTTAATTTTACTGTCTTAGTGGCAACTTACACACCTGCGATCTGCATATCAATGTTTCAGTTTTGGAACGTAATAACTTTTATTCATCTTTTGGCGAAATTTAAATATTGGACCATAATCAGTATCGAAGATTGGAGGAAAACATAATATATGAATAGAATTTACTTATATATCTATACAAAAAACTAACTATTTCTAATTATTTTTAATTGATAACCCTAAAGCTCGCCAATAGCTACTAAACAAAAAAAAAAACAGAAAATCGGTCAACTAATGAGGAGAAAAAGGAATTAAACTATTTATATATAGAGATATTTTTAAGAAAATTACATCTTAATGACACGTTTTCTTTCACGAGGTTAAAATTATAGATACTAGTCTTAGCGCCGGTCGTGCTCGGTTATCCAGAATAAATTATCTATATCTTTTGCACAGCTGTTGTGGGTAGTATTATAATGTATTTTCCCGTGGGAATGAGATAATTTCCGGCGGTAAAAAACCTATGCCACTCTCCAACCCTCAAACTATCTCCACACAAAAAATCACGCTAATCCGTCACGCTGTTTCGACGTGAAAGAAGGACAAACAAACAAACACACTTTTAAATTTATAATATTAAGTATTGATTTAATATGTATATATTTTTAACCAAACTTACCTGTAATAATAACGTTCTTAGACACTACGGCGCCATCGCAATAGTAGTCGAACTGATCGCTCGTGTCGTTTTTGATAAAGATCGTTGCCACCCACGGGAATATAAGTTGTGATATATTCGTATTCGCTGTGCAGTTTTCTTCAATCTGTACAATGAAATTTTTATATTTAAAACTCCAAATTGTTCAAAAGTTACAAAATTTAAGAAATATTTTTATTTAATGAATAACAAACTTGAAAAAATGGTTTACAAGCTATCTATAAAATAACAGCAACAATCAAAATTAAGAAGGAATAAACTCGAACAGAAAAAGCAAAAAAAAAACATTCAATAGGTCCTGACAAACAAGCAACTTTATATGTATAAATTTTAAGACAATAATAATTCTAAGTAAAGATAATAAAAACAAAATAATTGTTAATAGATATTTTTTTCAATTTAGGCACACAATAAGGAATTTTAAAATACGTTGGACGAGCGTCAATAACTCAAGCGCGGTATTAAAATTAAAAATTCAAATGCGCCGCCATTTTAGATAGCTGTTTATGGCGGGAAATTTTGTATGAGGCTTTATTTTAATACTAATGGCGGCTGTAAAAAACAGACGGCATTTTGTTAACTTGTTTGTAAACTTTGCCGTGTAATAATTTTTGTGTGAATTATTGTTGACGTGACATTCTTCTAACTTATATAGAATATTTTTCTGGGAAAAAAATGATGTTTAGTTTTTTGTATAATATCTAATCTCATAATAAAAAAATATATAGACGGAGCCCGCCAAAATAAATGTCAAAGTCAAAAGTAACAGTATAGCAAAGTTGTTGTTTATACTATTATTCTCGATTTTGCCATATAGATCGCTTGAGTTCTTTACATAATACCTAAAGGAAAATTTTATATTTGTTTTGGTAAAATAATATACATTTTTTGAGAACAAAGTATGTATAATATAAACAATAGTATATTCTTTTGTATTTTTTAAGCATTGCTTCTCTTCCTTGGAAGAGAGATAGCATTATTTTAGCTTATTTAGTTTTTTTCCTTTATTATAAAAAAACCGTTTGTTATTTTTATTAATTAATATTTATTTACACAGTATACAAGTTATAATTTGTATAATATTTGCAAAAATATGTATTATTTTAAATCATTGTTTGGCTTCATGTTTAGTTCTATGACACTCTGTCTATATTATTTCTTAGTCTGAGTATCTAATATAAATATTTTTAAGATGTTCACACCATTATTTATAAACTTTTGAGCGAATTTTGATAGCATAGGATATTTTATTTCAATTATGGATTCCCATTTTCATGGATGGCTTAATGGGATCATAGAAATTACGAATAGATGGTGCTGAATAAGAAAGGTGTTTAAAGAAAAGAAAGAACCTTTCAAACTGGTCCATTAGCATTTAGATAAAATTATAAAATATAATAAAAAAAATATAGCATAAATATAGTATTTAAAATAAATTTGCTGCTTAACCAATGACTGGAGTACAAACATTCGTGCTCATGACACAAATGAATGCCTCCAGCGGGACTCGAATCCGCGACCGCTGGCACAGCAAGTAGAGTTACTAAAAACTGAGCCAAACGTGTCGTCAGCTATTAAATTTACTTTATAAACAAAAAAATGATTATTACAATGAAACAAATGAAAACTGTTAGTTTATTTTACATAACATATGGGTATGACTAAAAGCTTGCACGTGTATTTGTTCATATAAATCCAATTTAAACAAACATATTTTTAAGTAAGTAGCCGAATAATGATTAACCGACTTTAAAAAATATAAGTTATCATAAAATTTTATGCTTTTAACCGACTGTAAAATAGGAGAAAGTTTTGATTTTACGAATATTTTTGTATTGTAACACTATTTCTTGGCCTATTGGTGGTCCAAATGCCTACATTTAAATATTTAAAAGATCTATTAGTAAGAAAAAATAATTAATAAAATTAATTAACTTTAAAGTTATTAAACGACTTCCAAAAAGTTTTTTGTTTCAAAGAGTCTACATCCCAGGTGGTCCAAATAAAATTTTATCGAAATCGGTCGAGCGGTTTTTAAAAAAATCAACAATAAATATTTTTTTTTAATAAATAGTTTAATCGAATATGTTATAAAAAACTTTCTTCTTACAAATTACCTGCTTATTACGTCTACACTAAAAAAAAACTTAAAAAAAACTGACTTCCAGTAATAGAGTAGTTAGTAATATATAATTGTTAAGATATGAATATTATCTAATAGGTAAATATGTACTTTACGTATCAAAATATTAAATTTGCACTGCATCGGCTGGCCCCGACTTCGAAAGTATCTGATTAGGTGTCTATTCTAAATGAAAATCCCTGTTTAGTTATTTTTTACATTTGAGTGACTGGAAGTCGGTTTTTATTATTTTTATAAGTTTATTATTAATTATAATCACACGATTTTATTAAAGGCTTGTCTTCACATAGTTATAATAGTGGTGTAATCCAAAAAGATGAGCGAAAACAAAGAACCGCCCGTAATTATCCAACCTTGAAAACTCGTGACCGAAGCATTTTAGGTTTTAATGTACGAAATATAAAATGGATAAGGCAAAAAAGGTACCTATCTTAAATTAACGTTCTTCGATTCTATGAGATTTTTTTGTCACAATTAAATTACTTTGATATGAAAACAGTAAGAAATTATTTATTCAAAGACGAATTCTAAAGTGTAAACAAGTTAAAGGTATGCTTTTAATAAATTATTTTCTTCAAGATCGTTTCTTGGTTTTTTATGACATCTTGGTTTTCTTCATAATTAATCATGTCCTTTGGGGAAAAAATGAAGCTAAAGAGCAGAACAACGAGTTTCTTTAACACACAAGTTACAACTTTCTAGTTATGAAATAGAAATGCACAGTTCATTAAAAATATTTAAAAATGTTAGTAATAAGTTCGATTTTGTAGATTTTTTAAGATTTCTCAAAGAAACATAATTTTTTATATGTTGAATCATACAAATTTTCATAATATTATTGGGCCAGACAAAGGAGATAATTACGACATAATTAAGTAAAAATAAAAAAAGCAAAAAGGCATCAAACAGTAGTGACTCATCGGTAAAGCGCTTATGATATAATGCGGTGAAAAAAATACTGTAAGCAAACATACATGTCTTAGAGACCTTTTTTTTTTTTTTTAACGTTGGGAAATGCATTTACGCACGACGTGTGGGACTCACCGGCGTAATACAGCCAGTACTACCCACTAAAACCCAACAAAACCTTCCCCCGTCTTAATGGGGCGTCGCAGGATCGCTTACGCATTCAACTACGACGCCCCGACGGCAGGTCCGCCGAAGCAGACCACCATAACCATGGGGTTGCTCCACAGTCCACTCTGCTATCAGAGAAGTACCAGGAGCAACCCGCATGGTACACTGCCCTAAGAGGGCCACCTCCCACCGCCCACCGAAGTGGGCCACCTCCCTGTGCGTTTCTTGGCTTCGCGCCCGGTTGGGTTGCCGGGCACTACTGAGCCCCCCCACCACGACAAGGTGAACGCACGTTGGGGGGGATGTCTTAGAGACCTAACATGACCACCAAAGGGCCGTTAAATTAAATAAATTTTTGCAGGAAGCCAAGACATAGACTTATCGATAACGCACACCGATACACTGATATGGTGGTATGTTTGTTACTTGTCAAACTAAAACGGCTGTACGAATTTAGATGAAATTTTGTATACAGATAGACTATGACTTGGAGTAACATATAGGCTACAGTTTGATATGTATAGGTGCATCCGAGGCCCCTCCCTAGTTTTTATAAAATTATAAAATTAGGATATCCAATATTAATAATCCATGTCCCATGTCGTACCGTGTGAACCAAGTGATTGATGCCTCGCGTGCTCGCAACTACGAGTAACAGCGAGGATAACACGCATAGAGGAAGTCGGATCTAGCCTAATATTATTCTACTAATATTATTAATGCGAAAATGTGTTTGTTGGTATAGCCTCTTTTAAGAAATCTTCTTCTCCCAGCAACGGAGTCGCAAATTGTATGCTGATAGGTTTAGCTTGGTAAGTGTTATTGGATGTTTTTTTCTTTGTACTACACGTTGTTTTTTTTTTTGGAAAATCTCTTATTATAAAATAATTATAGTTTAAAAAAAAACTAAAAGATATGAATTAAAATGCTTGGGACTCTTGAAGACGAATCATATGAGCCCAAACTCGAGGAGCTTCCTAGTAGCCACTGAAGAGTTCAAATATCCACCTCCTGGGTGCATCATCAGATCAGCTCTAAGATACCAAATTATAATATCGTTATTTGAATTAAATCTACATTCAAATTTTCATTTTGACGACGACTACGACAATTCGAATTAGTTAAAAATTTACTTTCAAGACTTGATTACATTAGGTATATACATACATATACATTAAAATACATATACATTAAAAGCGTTTTAAAATCTTGTCAATAAGTGACAGTATAACTTATAAATTTCAAGTATATTTTAAACGGTACGTCATGGCAATATACGGTAATTACAGCAATCATGGTCACGGGAGAGACTAGGCTTTGTCTTTAGACCTTCCGACCGGCGTATTTGATTTGTGATTTTCAGTCCGTACTGGTCCACTTAATACTTTCTTAGATTTACGCCAATATTTGACGTCCATACTAGTATTCTAAACGTGAAAATGTGTTTGTTTGTTTGTCCTTCTTTTACGTAGAAACAGAGCAGGGTCTGGAGAGTGACATAGACTTTTTACCGCGGGAGATTATGTACTTAGAGACGAACTCAAGCGATGCGAGGGTGAGTGGCTAGTTTTAAATAAAGATATATTTTCCGATTTTTTCGCGGATTTATTTTGAATCGCGTGACCATGATTGCTGTAAAGCATTCAAAATATCGGAACTCAAAAATCAAAATCGTAAAGTATGTAACTTATATATACCATCATAGCTTTACTAGAATTATATTTGCGAAAAGCGTCTTTACATGCACACGACTAAAGAGAAGCGAAGTTGAGTCACAGCTATTCTCATATTATTATGTCATATTAACTTTTTTTAATATTTTCACATGATCTTGTTTTAGGTTTAAAAATGTAAAGCATTTTTTCATAATATATATCTATTACATAAAAATACCAGTAATTTTAACCATTGTTTTTTTCACATTAATTACTTTTAATAGCCCATTTTACATTCATTAGTTAAACTTGAAATGGATACATAATTATACTAATATAATAAAAGAGAAAGTCGATGAATGTGTTTGAAATGAAATGAAACTTTATTCAAGTAGATTTATTATAAGTACTTTTTAACACACTTCCAAAAAGGAGGAGGTTCTGTGTTCGTCTGTATGTATGTTTTTTTATGTATGTTCACTGATTTCTCGGAGGCGGGTTGACCGATTTTGCTACGGTATGGATTTTGTTACGATATTGTATACTTAGGCAGTGGTAGCCCAGTGGTGACGCGCTCGCTTTGGATAACCGAGTGAAGCGGGTTCAAATCCCGGGTCTCGTACCTCTGATATTTTCATGTGCGAATCATTTTCAACATGATTACCACTTGCCTTACGGTGAAGGAAAACATCCTGAGGAAACCTGCATGTCTGAGAGAACCTAGCAAGTTTTCGAAAGACATGTGAAGTCCGCCAACCCGCACTTGGCCAGCGTGGTGGACTATGGCCTGATCCCGCTCATATAGAAGGGAGGCCCGTGCCCAGCAGTGGGACGTTAAGAAGGGCTGAATACAATACATACATTGTATACTTGTGTATAACGTTTTAAATATTTTTTTGTGTTTTATTTATTTGTATATTACTTCTCACTCTTACTTACTTATATTTTTCTTACTTATATCATATCTCTATCTTACATATGTTTTAGACTAGCGACTTATTCTTGCTTTGTTCGGGTATGTCTCTACGTGCCTTTTGTATTTATTAGGTATATTATATACAGGACTTTTAGCTATTTTAATTGCTAAGTTTCATCTAAATCCGTTCAGCCGTTTCTGTGGGAAGGAGTAACTTAAAGTCTATTTAATATCGTACGCAAAATAATCGACCACACGAGCGATCAACACTTTTCTAATTCTTTTACTTTTTTTTTTCTTTCTCCGACTAAGCAAACATCATAACGTATGCTTTGAAGCTTAAAACTTGTAACTTAATTGACTCAAAACCTTACTGTATTTAAGTTTAGTGAAATTGCAATGTTTTGCCTTCGAAATTTTTAATAGAAGATACCGGTTCGATTCTTTTTCGAAAAACATTTTTTAATAGGCATAAAGTCAGGCACTAAGTAGAAAAATTTACAATCAACTACAGTTTAAGCTGAGCATATTGTATGTTCGCCAAATTCAACATAATCATTATTAAAAATTTATAAATTATAGCACCGAACTGTTTGTTTGTAAATGTTTCTATAAAAAAATAAAATTTTCTAAAAAATTTCTATAGATAAACGTAAAAAGCAAAATCTTATCTAAGTACAAAATTTTATACAAATTGTTTATTTATTATATTATATATTAAGATTTGGTTAAAGTGAGTTGCTATTTATTGTATTATATGTTAATGAAAGTATAGAAGGATGGATATAAAATATTATTTTATTTGAATTTTTGGACATAGAAATATAGAAATAAAATGTACCAAAATATGAATATTCCCACGCAGATTTCGCGCATTCGGATTTTGTGTAAATATTTGGTTTTTAGGTAGTAAAAAATGTACTCGCGTATTTTTATAGTTTTTGGCAATTTATAAACGTGAGAGAATATTGGTAATTTGAAGTAGAATATTTTTTTAGTTACAAGCTGTAAATAAGTGTATCTCTTCATTTCATAAAGTAATAACGACGTCGAGTTGAATATATTATTATTATTATTCATAATGTTGTAAAAAAAAATATTTTTTTTCTCATAAATTAATTACACTCTAAAATGAGTAATAATAATTATACTCTAAAATGAATTTGGAATATACTTAATCCATACTAATATTATAAATGTGAGGTTTGTAAGTATGTATGGATGTTTGTTACTCTTTTACGCCAGAATGGCTGAATGGATCTGGATGAAATTTAGCACAGAGATAAATTATAGTCTGGAATAATACATATAATATTTTTATCCCGGAAAAATATACGGTTCCCGAGGGATAGATTTGTTTTTGTTTTTCTAGTTTTGTCTCTAGTTACGTTTTGACGATTATGACAGATTTCATCAAAATCTCTCCAGTAGTTTTTCCGTGATGCAGTCACAGACAGATGGACAAAAATTGATACAGATTCGGCTTAGTTACAATTTTATTATATGTAGGTATAGATTTTTGCTTCCATTGAAAAATTAAGAAAAGATTATCAGCTATACATTTAGAAGGAGTCTGAATACATAAAGCAAAGCACAGTCGTATTAAAAAAAATGATTACATGTAAAAAAAAATCTTCTAATTTGACATGAAAATCATTGAAAACCAAATTTTTATTGTAGTTATATATTATAAATCGATAAGCAACTTTTCACACTGTTAAGTCTGGTAGGTTTGTAGAAAGACAACAACAAGTAAAAAAAGAACAAAAAGACAAACGTAACATATGATTTTAAACATCTTTTTTTTTTACTTTGAACTTTAAAAATAGAAAGTGCAAAGACGTGGGAAAAAGCTTGTTTAAACACACAAAAGCTTCTTGCATCAACATTTTTGCTCCTTATTATATCGGTCATTATTTAAAAATACGTGCCCATGATATCAACAAAAACATTAATTAAGAAATATTTAAGCAATTTACTTACATAAATGCTATTGTCTGATGTGTTCACATACGTTTCATTTTTACTCATTAAATGACTCATCGTACTTGTTTCAATTTTGATTTCTACATATTCGTTAGTAGTATCCTTGTATAGTTCTATATAATCAATTATAGGATAATCTGTACTATTGTCGTCTGTATCGTAATACATTGCAAATTCAGTATTTGGTATTTCATTTTCTTGAATTTTCTTTTTAGTTTTATTTATATTTTTTCTCTGTTGGGTATTATTTTTATTAATTTTATTTTGTTTTGGTAGCACAATTTCAGTTTTTGTATTTGGTTGAAAATATGTGTCAGTAGAGTTAATTTCACTAACAATATCGCTGTCTTCTTTTATATTTTCAACATCAACGTTTATTGGTATAATTTTCACATATATTGTTGTATCGCTACTAGCATTACGCAAAGCGTTTATTGGATTACCGAATTGAAAGCCATTTGTTACTTCTTCCTTAAGAAAACTGGAAACACTCTCTAAAATATTATGTAAGTTTATGCTTGCCACGTTTATATTTTCGAAGCCTGGAACTGCTATGTCACTATCAGTGTCATTTATGTTGATAACATCAGGAACGCCAAAAAAAATATCAAAAAATGAGCCAACACACTTTATATATGTGTCACATTCACTATTTCCCACAATACCTTTTATTAACACTATAACACAAATTAGACCTGTGAGATTCATTATTATTTATTCAACAAAAAACGTGATCACTATATGCATGATAGTATACAAATGCAGGCTTCTTTACATTGTTATGATTTAAAACCTTTATCGCGAATGGTCATGGATCTTATGTTAAATGCAATAAAGTGTAAAATTGTTTGCTCTCTTTTCTGCTATTACACAACAGTCTCACCTTGGGATGTTCGTGGTAAAATTGACTTTGATAGATTACTGTGGACAATGAAGATAATAAGCCACTCCAGGTGTAAGCTTAAAGCTTAGCAATTCTTAATGAACAGACGTCTCATCAATATATTTTATTTACATCATTAGAGTTGTGCATGCTTATAAAATAGTGGTCTTTTTGTCTTTTAGTAGCAACGCGCTCTGGTTTCACCTAAGTATAAAGTGAAACCGTTACGTACCATATAAAACGAACATAATATCTTATTATATATTAGACCTTATTTATTATTTAGATTATATTTATTATTTTAGATAGATTTATTATTTTTGTTGTTTCAATAAAATTATGAATCGAATGGTTGATTTATCAATTAATGTTTATCTGTTTTAAAGTTCTGGGTATTATTTAAAACCTTAGGAATTATTTTAGCTTAGATAATAAAGTCGATTAAAACAAATTCGTTTTTCTTAGCGATAATTCTTAGACGTTACGATATTAAGTCGTAGTTTTGTAATATTATCTTACTACGATATAAATGCAAATGTTTCGATGGATGGATGTTTGGTACTCAATCACGCCAAAACGGCTGAACTATCTAGATCATATTTGGCACAGAGATAGATTATTATATATAGTCTGGAATAAAAGCATAAAAGCATATAGGAAAAACTGCATGATTCCCGTGGAATAGATTTGTTTTTGTTTTTCACTAGCGAGCGACCAAAGCAAGTGTAAGCCGCTAGTATGAAAAATAAAACCCTTAGAGGATAAGCAATGTTGATATCATGGTTTCGTATGTATGTTTAAATCATAAGATCTGATATATAAAAGATTTAAAAGATTTTTAAGTAAATTCACAGAAGCATTTGCTATTTCCATTTTTAGGGTTCCGTATATCTGATGAAAAAATAGTTTTTCAGAGGATCGTATAGTATGTGGATATTCATCTGTTAAAGCCAATTTCCTTCATACATAGAAGAAGAGCAGCAGAAGCAACTTTTGAGTTTCTCGTCGGCTCTTTCCAGCAGAACTGCCTTCTGAGCCGGTGATATTCACCTCTTCTTCCTCACGGACTTACATAGTGACATTTAATTTACATTTTAATAATGTAAAAACTGACGATTCAAAATTGCTTTAAAAAGTCTATTCGAATAAAGTATGTTTTGATTTGATTGATTGATTTGATAACATAAATCAACGAATTTTGATTGGAGTTTAATTTTGAGGACGAATTATTTGAACACAAAAACTTGTGAAAAATTTTTGCTTTGAAAAATAATCATGTTAAACTCTTTTCAACCGACTTCAAAAAGGAGGAGGTTCTCAATTCGACTGTATGTTTTTTTTTTATGTTTGTTACCTCAGAACTCCGTCATTTATTAACCGATTTGGACAATTTTTATTTTGTTTGAAAGGGTATACTTCCAGATTGTTCATTAACTAAACCTTCTTGCTCGAGGCCTTTACATTTTTTCCTAGTAATAAATGAGCTAACAAACTTCAATCCACGAAACAGGTACATTATACCGTTGAAGTTTCTTGCTGCTTTTATAATATAAAATGTAAGATAATAATAAAATCTTTAAATATTCATCAAAAAACTACGCTTCGGTGATTTCAAGCAATGTAAATACAAAGATCTTTATTGCGCCACAATTTTAATATATTTATTATTTACATTTAAATATATCTTGGTATATTTTATATTCAAGTGGTGTCAACAAAAAAAACTTAATGATGGGACCAAAACACTCCATGTGCCATATAGAAAATTTCACATTACCCCCGTTTCATGACATGGTTATATTAGATACTTTATGATGTTGTAAATTTCACAATATAGCAGCCATTTACATATTTTATATCACGGTAAAAAAGATAATAAAAATTTACTCACATTTTCGAAACTGCCTAAATTATTAAAAATCCCTGGAATGAGCTCTACATCAGTCATATCAGATGTTGTTAACTTACTTTCATCAATTGAATCGTTTATATCAACATTTTCTCCTGAATCAAACACATAATCTACTACGACATTACTCTTTGGAATTTCACTGTAATCTTTTCCTTCATCGACCTTTACATTCCTTCTTCTTCTGTTCAGATCTTCAAAATCTTCAAATTTCGAATAATCATCTTCATAGGCTTCTGTAGTTGAAAAATCTGTACTTTCATAAAAATCAGTTGTCATGGACATGGTATCTTCAATTATTGTCAAATTTTCAATTTCAGATATTTTTGGTATTCTCTTTATAGTTATGTTAGCATTTATGTAATTGTATATATCTGGCCAAAACTTCACACTGTATAGAAACGTTGATATTATTCCTAACATAACGATGAGTATCATAAGTATTAGAAGTCTTATTACCAATTGCATCATAGATATATTTAGTTTCATTGTTTATCGCAATATTTAGAACGCAAAAGTAAACAACTTAATACAAAATATATAATATGTTCCCTCACAAAATATAGTATAGCACAAATACTACTATGTGTAAAGTAAGGTCGGTTATTTGAATTTAAAAAAATAGTTAACTATCTAGGTCCTGCACTTATAATGTTTAGATTGACACTAACTAACATATCTTATGGGATCTGAATCAATACAATAAAGTTTTCCTAATATGGTGTACAAATGGCTATTAATAATTCTATTGAAACTATACATGCTTCCTTATAGTTATTATGAAAAATAATGATAGTACAGTGGTGGCAATGTAGCACTGTCCAAAACATTGCTGATTTTGGGTTCAATTTGAACAAGAGCAATGAGTTTGTATTTCACTTACTGATCTGCTATTTTTGACTAAAACAGAACGCTACTTACAAAAAATTTTTTTAACTAAGGGGTGAATTTTTTTACTACGAAGTTTTTATTTGAAGTGACGTATTAAATTAATGGTAGACTTTGAATAAGTCAAGAAAATTTAATAACATTCAACGAAAATATTACCGTGTAATATGTACAAAGATAAACTATCACAAGAAACGAGATTTTTCACCATTTTTGAAATCGATCAATAAATATAAAGTTCTATAACTCATTATATGTATATTATACATTTCCGGTGTCGTTAATTTTTAAATCAAAGTACAAATTCATTAATATTATAATTACTAGCGGCTCACTCTCGCTTCGCCCGGGTTTATCGCTAGGTACGTTTTAAATAGATATAAATAGTTATTAGCTAGCGTTAGCCATATTTTTGTTAATAATATTGATAAATATTGACATTAATATTTATACAATACTAACGTCACTCAACTGCTTGCCTTCCCGGAACCTCTCCACTAACACTTAAACTTTATGGTATGGTATTAATGTTGTTTTTAGACTTTTCAGGTAATTTATTAAATTTTTCTTTAAGTAAGAACCATCCTCGTACGTCAAGGAATATTCTAAAAAAAGAATTGGCGAAATCGGTTCAGCTGCTCTCAAGATTTGCGCCTATCAACACATTCAGCGATTCATTTTTATATTATAGAGATAACTAGCGATTTGCCCTCGCTCCGCTCGGGTTCGTGTTATTTACATTTTAACGTTTAGCATAAATTTCTCAGAAATGAGATATTTTATATAAACAACTAGCATAGTACCAAATTTCATCAAAATCTGTCCACTGGTTTTCTCGTGATGCGTTCCTAGACAGACAGACAGACGGAAATCCTAAAAACTATAGCTTCTCCTCCGCTCCTCTCCTCTGTATCGATAAATAATGACAATTTCAATAAGATTTTCCAAAAAATATTTAATGTACAGATTTTACTCAAAGTTTTATTATATGTATAGATAATAAGTTTATATTTATTGCAATAACAGCACTATTATTTAGGAATTCATATGAGATAGCTAAAACAGTTTTCGAGTACGACGTATGAAGAGCTGAGCACACATATTATGAAACTATATAAGATATATAAGCTATAAGCTGTATAAGATACTATAGTTTTTTAATTATCCCACGGGAACTCTTTAATTTTCTGGGATGAAACGTATTTAAGATAAGACCGAGGATATAAGGTACCACCATGCAAAATTTCATTTAAATTGGTCCAATAGATTCGGAGATTAGCCCGTACAAACAGACAAACAGACAGAGAAACAAATAAAATTGAAAAAAATCTGGATTTGTTCTATTTGTCTTCTTACATCCCCCTGACTCGGTTTTTAGCATTTTTTTGCTATGTACAGACATTCAACCTCTACTCTTTTATTATAGTATAGATTATAAGGACTATGTATGTATGTATTCAGCCCTTTTTAACGTCCCACAGCCGTGCATGGGCCTCCCTTCAATACGAGGGGGATCAAGCCATAGTCCACCACATTGGCCGAGTGCGGGTTGGCGGACTTCACATGTCTTTCGAAAACTTGCCAGGTTCTTTCAGGCATGCAGGTTTCCTCACGATGTTTTCCTTCACCGTAAAGCAAGTGGTAATCATGTTAGAAATGATTCGCACACGAAAATATAAGAGGCGCGAGGCCCGGGATTTGAACCCGCTTCACAAAGCAAGCGAGCGCGTTACCACTGGCCTACCACTGCCTTGAAGATGATTTCTATGATGGGATTATTTATTTGAACATTAATTGAAACTGTCATACGTGGCTATGCGTAGTTGTTTTTATTAGTAGGTGCTATATTAATATTGGATTAACAAAAGAGACTTACTAACTTCAAAATCACTTCAAGAGCTGTTGTAATTTGAAATTTTTTTACTTCAAGTTTATACGAGATCATTTCTGTATGTTTCTTAAAAAAGAACTCATTATATGATACCTTTGAGACATCTAACACCCTAGTCTCTTCCGTGACCATGATTGCTGTAAAGCATTCGAAACGTCGGAACCAAAAATCAAGATAAATCCGCGAAAAAATCTGAAAAGATAGTTTTATTTAAAATGTCAAATATTCGCGTAAATCTAAGAAAGTATTACATCCAAATCCATCGAGCCGTTTCAGCGTGAATGAGTAACAAACATACACATACACAAACAAAGTTTCGCTTTTCATTTCACGGTATGTGTGTTTATTTGTCTTTTTTACCTTTTTCTTATAATATAATAGTTTTTTTATGTTTAACACTATAATAACATACTTCTACATAGTATTGCTTAATAGCGTATAATCGTAATCAAGCTGACCGTAATCCGATGATTCTTGTATGGATACTAGTTACATAAAAAATGGGCGGTGGGGGTAAGAGGGTGAAAAATACTTTACGGTTGTAATTCTCATACCTACCAAATATACAAAAAAAAAACACAAAATCGGTCGAAACGTTTCGGAGGAGTGCGTTTACAAACACCGTGACACGAGATATTTATATATTAGATTGGGCATATAAGATAATATTCGCACTTAAAACTTAAAATTTTGGTTATTTAAAAAAACGTTTAATGCGTTAATAAGTTAATAAATAAAATTATGTACTGTTATATTGTGCAAAGGTTGCGGGATCTATTCCTGGTTGGCGCAAAAATATTTGTGTGAGATATCATTACATACAAGTGCTAGTGGAATGGCTTAAAAGCTTGAAATTGGTCATATTTAATTTAGTTATTATTCAGAAAAATGAAAAAGGCCCGCATAAAATCGGTAGTAGAATTTTTTTTACAATATTAAGTTATTACTTATGCAGAAAGGCTATTTGATTTGTTTCTTTAAAAATATGCATTTTCGAAGAATTTTGGAAGCTTAGGATTAGAATGAAATAAAGAGATCAGGTACATTAATAATATTTTATTACAAAACGTACAAAGTATAAAATAATTAGTCTTATATATGTGTCGATACAGTCGATACGGAGACATTTGATAGCCCAGGTTTAATACTGGTAGTATTTGCTTCACGCTCCTTCCTCTGCTTTTTTGGTCCAAATAGAATTTTCTGTATCTGACATGCTGGGGCTTCTACAAAGAGATGAAGTGGCAGTGACCAGAGGTAGGTTGTGCATACGATTCCAGCATATAACATTATCTGCAACAGTATTAAGATTTAGTATTAGATTTTTTAATTTAATTGACAAAAGGTATTAATCATCTCTTTTAATTTTATAGCCATGACGATTGATATCCCATACAAACTTTCATCCCCATTATCACCCTCTTAAAGGACGATTTCCGAGATAAAAAGTATCATTTATCCTTCCCAGGGTCTCAAACTATCTTCTTACCAAATTTCATCTAAATCGGTTCAGTAGATCCAAAGATTACCCCGTACAACGTCACAAACTCACAAACTTTACCACTTTATAATATTAGTATAGATAATATTAGTATGTATAAAAAACTAAAAGAAAAAACACCTAACAAAGGGCAGAAATTTTATCCGAGAATCATGAATATTAATTATTTTTCACTGAAATCTTGAAAGCAGCATGAGATTTGATACGCTGAAAACGCATCCAGAAATCCGGATTCAGAAATCTAAATGTGAATCTATTCCGATGAAGATTTAATCCTGTTAGAATCGGGACCTTGAATGAAAATAACCTGAACAAACTTACTATTGTTATTTTAAGAGGATAGTCGGCTAGAAGATACAGTTCAAATTATATTTTACCCTTAAAGTCCACGGTCCTCATGTTTTTCTTAAACAAAATCTTTAATAGAAAATCTAGAGAAAATAACGATCTTGAAAATATTTATTTTTTTAAGTTTTTATAGAGTATACTCTTAAAAACTAATAAAACTAACTTGGTTCGAAAATATTTTTCAACATGAATTAATATAAATATATTTTAAGGCACTTAACTAAATTAATCAAAAGAAATAACTGAACAGATTTTTTTTACAATATCACCCAGCCAGATATATTTATAGTCGGACATCAGCCAACGTGAAGACACATAGACCTTCTCTTTCGAAATCTGTAAATTAGGGAACTTTTATATCCTTTGTATGTATGTGCTCAGCCCTTTTTTTAACGTCCCACTACTGAGCACGGGCCTCTCTTCAATACGGGGGGAATCAGGCCACCATGCTGGCCAAGTGCGGGTTGGCGGACTTCACATGTCTTTTGAAAACTTGCTAGGTTTTCTCAGACATGCAGGTTTCCTCACGATGTTTTCCTTCACCATTAATACAAGTGGTAATCATGTTGGAAATGATTTGCACATGAAAATATCAGAGGTGCGAGACCCGGGATTTGAACCCGCTTCATTCGGTCTCCCAAGCGAGCGCGTTACCACTGGGCTAGCACTGCCTTTATATTCTTTAAATAACTAAAAATTGAAGTCTTTGCTTTTATTGATACTTACAGCAGTATAGTCTGTGGCATAAAATGATCTCCTCAGTTGTCCACCATAAGTTCTGAGAACAGTCGCATGTAACAGCATAGCGCAATAAGACATTCTACCCAACGGCTGCAAAGGACCCCATTCCACTGCGCCCACGTAAATTCCTGGAGTAAATAGAAGTTATTGAATATTCATAGTTTATTAAAATACCACGGTTTATATTTTCTTGATCAAAAGGATTGAAGAGTTTTTTGGAAGTATTTTGATATTGTAAGTTTTATTCGCTTATTTTTTAGCTTAGAAGATGTTCTAATTGTACAATTGACAAAAAATATTGAGGGCAAGGTGTTCATTATACTTTTGTATGAAAAAAAAATAATTTTATTATATCTGCTGTGTTTAGTGTTCAGAATATTCTTTGTAAAACTCCTGAAGATTAATTTTAGATGGAAAACATTTTTGATGTAAACAAAATTTTATCTATGTTTTTTATAAATAAATATTACGATTTTGAATAAGGATAACTATAAAAAGAACTGACACACTCTTCTCGCCTTTTTATTATCGAAGTGAATTAGTCTGTGGTCGCAGTTGCCGTTTGAATCTCGCATGCCTCTCACGTTCCTTACATTTCTATGCCGTATTGTTATATTCAGTGTCAAATAATCCAAGCTTGACGAGCATTTCATAAATCCCTATTAGTACTGGAAGTTGTATGAAGTTTGGGAATCTCTTTATTAAGATGAAAGTCAAAGGTTCGATTTACGTTTAAGTAAAATATTTGTTTTGGGCCTGAAAAAATGCTACCAAAGATATGTGAATGGAAGTTGGAGTATTGGGTCCCTTCCCCCCCAACGAGCGTTCACCTTGTCGTGGTGGGGGGGCTCAGTAGTGCCCGGCAATCCAACCGGGCGCGAAGCTAAGAAACGCACAGGGAGGTTGCCCACTTCGGTGGGCGGTGGGAGGTGGCCCTCTTCGGGGGGCGGTGTACCTTACGGGTTGCTCCTGGTACTTCTCTAATAGCAGAGTGGACCTTGGAGCAACCCCATGGTTGTGGTGGTCTGCTTTGGCTGACCTGCCGTCGGGACGTCGTAGTTGAATGCGTAAGCGATCCTGCGACGCCCCATTAAGACGAGGGAAGGTTTTGTTGGGTTTTAGTAGGTATTACTGGCTGTATTACGCCGGTGAGTCCCACAAGTCGTGCGTAAATGCATTTCCCAACGTTAAAAAAAAAATTGGGTCCTTTGGCTACAGTTGCGTTAATAATGTATGTTCCCATAACTGGAGTACAAACATTCGTGTTCATCAAACAAATGATTGCCTCCAGCGGGACTCGAACTCGCAACCGCTGGCACAGCAAGTATGGTACTACACTGCAAACTGAGCCAAATATTTTATACTTAACTATTACAGTCATATTTCATATTCATGGTCCAGTCATTGAAGACATAAAATGAGACTTTTGCTACAAAAGGTCAAGGATAGTTCTAACTTGGAAATGTTAAAGTTTAGTGTCCTATAAATAATGAACCTATACTGTCAGTACAAATGAACACACTATCTTTACCATAATCAATAATTTTATAATCCTTAACTGGCAGAATGTCAACATTTCTCAATATAAACTCCCTTACTACAAATATGCCAAGTGTGCGCAAACACTAAAATGTAGATCTATTAACATTTAACAACTCCAAAACTTTTATTAGCATCGACCATCTCAATATGAAAATCCTTCTCCATTTTTATTTTTATTCCAGATTTTCTAATAATCCTTTTATCTTTTGCAAGCGAATCAAACGTTTGTGCTTAAATTTCAAGACGTTTTCTTAGTAAGCCACGTTAGGTAATAGGTGGGACAGAATGTGATCGAGAAAAACCAATTTTAATGCACGAATAAATACGAAAGGTTAAGTTGAATTCTTTGAATGTTTTTGAATGTTTTAGTTTGTACACTCATGGATTTTAAGAGATTCAATTTAGGATTAAATTAAAATTTCGTATATCAAAGAGTTTTGTCATGATAAAGGTGATTAAAATTTTTAGATCACCTTTTACTATTTCTTTTAACGTTTTTCTTATATTTGTAGTTCATAGCAAAAGAAGCAGACTAAAAGTCTTCAAAAAATTAATTTAGTGACCATCATCCAAAGTATTCTAACAAAATACAGGTAAAATATTTAAAACTTATATGTATGTTATATCTATGTAAATAAGCAATATAAATTCACATACTGTTGCATTTGTAGAAATAGCCGATGATGAAGACACAGATGGCGAGTGCAAAGAAGTTCTGGTTTAAACTGTTGAAGATCGCGGATTCGAAGGCAGACGCTTCACGGTGATGAAGGTCCCAACCCATAAGTGCTGTACCAAATGCCACGGGTATAGATATGACGAACAGGAACTGCATTAGCTAAAAATGATTAAAAAATAAAGTAAAAGAAAAATAAAGAAAAAAAGATGTTAAAATCCAAGTAAAAATTATATTAATTATTGTTCTATTGTCTTTTACATTTTCTACTAGCGGCTAGCCCAAGCTTCGCTAGGGTTCGCTTCTAGAAATATAAAAACAAGTTTATCCCACGGGAACCGTACATTTTTCCGGAATAAAAAGTAAACTATATATTCTTCCGATGTATGAGCTATATTATTGTAAAGTTTCATTAAAATCCATTCAGTAGTTTTTGCGTGAAAGAGTAACAAACATCCATACATCTATACATCCAGACATCCAAACACCTATAAATCCTCACAAACTTTTATAATATTAGTAGGAACTAGGAAGGGTAATAAGAATACGCTTTTTCTTTATTTCTTCTCTTTTCTCGTTATTTTTTAAATGAAATGTAAATATTAATTTTTGTTTTGAATAATTTTATTTAACCTTAACAGCTGTACAATGTACTTAATGTTATATTATATATCTTTTTTCATATTTTAAACTTTAAGTTAGGTTTGTTTGAATAATCATATTTACTTGAATGTTGTTAACAGATAGATATAATTGGTCAGCAAATTCAAAATGATATTTTAGCCTTAAATACATAGATTAATTCAATTCAATTCTTTGTTATTTGGCTTTTAAATAAAATTAAAATAAATCAATATGCGTTAAAGTTAATTATTTTAAATCTAGCTGACACATATTTTAAATTACTTGTCATCCTTATATCACTATTACAGTTGTATAGAGAAAAGCACTTTTACATTTCCCAAATTTCCCAACTTTCCGGAATTTTCTCCCCACTCAAACTATAACGATACTTACAAAAAAATGATAAACTGGTTCAGCCGTTTTCAAGTGATGCGCTTACCAACGAACAAGCATTTTATTTTTATTATAATTATTATGTATTATAAAGTTTTTTATTCGAAAATATTTATATTTCTGAAATATCTACGTAGTTTACATACCTGCCACTTTTTTTTAAGACGTTGGATTGATTTTATGTATATTATCAAGATTATTAGTTATATTTTTTTTTATTATTTCAAATATTTATTTGATATTTATAGGTTAGAGTAAAAAATGTTTTAACATGATTACACAGTACACAGACCCTATACTATCTCGATGGCTATCTGGTGTACTGGTTAGAGCACTTTCAACGCCGAAAGCAGGTTCGAATCCTGATCCCGACAGTTATTTATAGTAACCATATATTTTTTTGTAATCTCTACATATAAATACAATAAAAGTGTCTGTCAGTGATATCAAAATAACTACATATTATATTTCTTCAAGTAAAACCAATCGTAATGGGACTTTCACTGAAAGATAGAGGATTTTATAGGGCTATATTTGTATGTATGTATATGTATATTAAAGTTCTAGCGCGAAAATCCAAAAAACCCACACATGCCATCCTATTGGAAGCCGTTGTATAACCATTATTTATTTAAATATTTATTTATTATTATATATTTATTTATTTATTATTATATATTTATTTATTTATTATTATATATTTACACAAAATATCCAATTTGTTATATAATTAAACCTAATATACTAACCGACTTACAATTCTCAAATATCTTGACCTATTACTTACCCAAGAATCTCCCAAGTTCCATTTCCTAGCTTGCGCCTTATGATAAAACCAAGCTGTTAACACTCCTAAGTGATAGCCAGCCCAGTTGCCTTGTGCGGATACATAGGCGTGATAGAACGTGTCGTTGTAACCGAATATATCCCTTATTGATCTAGAAATAAGATTCTTTTTTAATTGCTTTATTGTTAAACTAAATGAAGTTTTAATGCCATTTTATTTAGAATGTTATGTTGGTTGGTTTATAAGATAATGGTACGAAATGTTAGAAAATTTAGATAGAAAATTAAGGTATTGAAAATGCTAAGGCAGAGATAGAACAGATATATAAATAGGCAAAGGCAGAACAGATATCATTTTTACGTGTAGTAGCTTTTGACGAGCTTTATTTAGCTTTTTTATCAATATTTTTTTTTTGATACCAGTTACTTTTTTATATATATAGATAAGTAAAATCAATCAATAAGTTTTCCTCAAATTTTCAATAGAGTTAATCATAATTATGGTCGAACTTCTGAAACTTCTGAACCTCTGGACGTTCACTAGTAATATGTAATTGTGTAACTTTTTCTTATAAAAATAACAATTTATTTAATTGGGATAAAGATGTGGTTAGGAACGTTGTTATGCAAAATGGATCCAGCCCACGAGAACCATTTTTTGAGTTACTGTCATAAATGGCTATATATCAATTTATATACAGAAACTACATAAAGTACCCAATACTGAAGAGGAATTAAAAATTATCTCGTCTCGTTATTATGATATACCAATTTTACTAAAACTACTATTTTCTTTTATAAAAGTAAGTTTTTTCATTAGATTTATTTTGCTTAACTACGTCCAGTTGTTATTCGCAATCCCAAAAAGAATTCTGATTTCTGATATACGAGTACGATAGTTGGCTCGAAGTTTATGTAAGTGTAATTTAATATTTATTGTCAGAATACAACAAGTAATAATAATGTCCTCCTGATCGATTTCAATCATGGAGTACAATCTCAGATTAGCCATGTGCGCCCGACCCGGGACTCGAACCCAGGTCCTCGGATCTGTAATCCTACATGGTAGCCACTAGACCACCGAGGCAGTTACAACAAATACAAGAAATAATTTAAATAAGTATATATACAAGACGTATGTATATTATACAATATATACTTTGCATTTAAGCGAAACCAGGTATTTTCCCTTGTTTGCCGTTAGTTATTTTTAAAACTTGTTTAGGCGTGACAAGTCAACACATTGGAAACAAGAGTGTCGCGGAAGCGAGGCATTAATAATTAAAAAAAATATTTTACTTATATTTTTATAATAATTATTATTTATGAAAGTACATATTTACTATTATTAATAATATAATAATTTTATTAAAATTATTATATTATTAATATTTTGATATGTTTTAAATTTTAATTTAATTGCAGTATCTGCCCCAGCGTCGAAGAAGTTTTAGGTCAATCGCGCGTAAAGCAAGCACTCATTTTTTTAGGGTTCCGTACCCAAAGGGTAAAACGGGAACCTATGTATTACTAAGATTCCACTTTCCATCTGTCCGTCAGTCTGTCCGTCTGTCACCAGGCTGTATCGCATGAACCGTGATAGTTAGACAGTTGAAATGTTTCACAGATGATGTATTTCTGTTGCCGCTATAACAACAAATACTAAAAAATAGAATAAAATAAGTATTTGAGGGGGCTCCCATACAACAAACGTGATTTTTTTGTCAATTTTATAGATAATGGTACGGAACCCTTCGTGCGCGAGTCCTTCTCGCACTTGGCCGGTTTTTATTCAATGGAGCTTTCTAAATTACATAAATATGACTATACTTACTCAGGGAAGAAGCTGACTCGAATTGGAAGTAAATTCATGAAGTAATTTTGTAAGAACGGTATGAGAAGACTGACAACCATCACTCCAGAAAGTACGGGTATTCCTGATCTTGGCCACTTCCACATGATTAGTAGAACTATTAGCGTTATGAAGAATAACTGAGTATCTGTTCCTAGATACCTATAATGAAAAGAACATTAAAAAAACTGATTTAAAAAAAAACACTAAAAAGTTAAAAATAACTGAATGGTACTTTTCATTTACTTTAGATACGTAAAACTATCTTTTCGGATTTTTTCGCTGATTCATTTTGATTATTGGTTTCCGACGTTTCGAAAAGCTCCGAAAAGATAGTTTTATTTAAAATGTCAAATATTCGCGTAAATCTAAGAAATTGTTGTGTAGATACCTAATCAGATATTTTCGAAATCGATTTCATGCTTCTTCTAATATATTCAAGCAAATATACTAGATGAATAATATTTTAACTATAATGAAACTAAATAACTTCAAAATACCTTTAACTATTTCTCCTTTATGGCTAAGGCTAACAAAACAACCATTAAGGAACATGTCCAGTTTACAAAAATCAACTGATAGCAGAGATGTGATGTGATCTTAGCCTAAATGCTATTATTAATTTTATTATTATGTGCATTAGTCACTGGCAGTATTACGGCGAGAATTACCGAATTACGCAAGAAAACGTTTAACGGTGTAGTAATAGTTAACATTACCGTGTATAGTAATATATGGTTTGTTAGTATAACGGAGTACGTCATTACTTTGCCTATTACGAGATTATCGAACGATTATTGGTACTCTTTTTCCTTCCATTTGACCGATTTAAAAAAAAGAGTCAAATCACTCGATTTACGCGTGTTATTAGATGTATGTGTAAACTCTGAACCGATTTTGATGAATTTTGTTGTAATGAATAGGTAATAAGCTAATATTATGACGACACGTTTAGCTCAGTTTGTAGTGACCCTACTTGGTGTGCCTGTGGTCACGGGTTTGAGTCCCGCTAGGGGCATTCATTCGTGTTATGAGCACGAATGTTTGTACTCCAGTCATGGGTGTTTATATTTATAATAGATAGTGCTGTGTGTTAATGTCCCAACATATTAATAGGTATACCTCACTAACTCTCTAGAAATATGTCATCAGTAAGGGTGGAATGTCTTTTATAGAGCGTTTGAAGGCGGAATATTTTGTTAGTTAAGGTTATTTTAAAATTAAGATAATGGTACTTAATCTGATCTAGATGGAGTATTTTTTGAAACTGTACCTAAGTATATAATATGACGTCATATAGATATGTCATCAGCATTCATTCATTCATGTAAAATATGTAAATTTTTATTCCACTCACATTATTACATCCTTATTTTTAAGATTGCATTTTCTAGAAAACTTTTTTAGAAAACCACGGAGTTCTAAGATGGTTCCTTAGAGTTTTGAACAAGTGTTATTCCAAAATAAAAAGATTAGCTATTAATGTAATTCTATTTATAATATTGTTGTCTTTATTTTACTCACTCGCTAACGACTATCGAATTTTCAAATACATATATTATCGAAATATGTAACAAGCTAATTCGGGCAGCTTATAGGATACTTTTTACTGCGGGGAAAAATCTCATCTCTGAGAAATCTATACTAAAAGTTAAAACGTAATAATTGACGAACTCGAGCAGAGCGAGGGTGAGTCGCTTGTATCTTATAATATTAAATGTTCTTTTATATTTGTATATAAATTTATTTCGCATATCTCGGAAACGGCTCTAACGATTTGGATCAAATTATGTATTTAGATAAGGTTTTGCTTTTTAAGTTTATCTATATAGGTGTCTATTACGAAAAAAACGCAACATTTCTAACAAAAATATAAAAAATTACAAGTCCGTAAATGAAACCATTTATATCTCGCGTATTTTTTCATCATGTAGAGTATGACAATATAAACAATTTAATATGCAAAATTATGAGACTACACACTTCTTTCGTAACGCCGTTATGAGATGTACGTGATTAAACTAACCTTGAACTAGAATTCACATTGACATAGCATAGTTAGAAAGTAATAAAAGTCGAAATGGCTTTATCCGGCTAAATAAAAGAGAATTATGTATTTAACCAGTTAGTATGTATGTCTGTCTGTCTGTCCGAATTTATATTCCCTCATAATTACTATATATTACAACTAGATTAGTCTTATTAATACGAGTGTCATACTAAAATTATAAAATATCAAAATGGCGTATTTTAAGCGACAAATTGATTTTTTTTGATAAAACTATCGAGTGGGGTCAAAGTGAACGTTTTTAAGAAGCTGTGATAATATATAATTCGTACAAATTATATTATGTTAAAAAATAAAGTTTTAATATATTCGATGTCTATAAGTAAGTCTAAAGTTATATAAATTTCTTAATAGATGTTAAAAGTCATATTACAAAATCTTAACACTACTCTTCAAAGGTCACAGTATAAAATTGTATTCAGCCCTTTTTAATGTCCCACTGCTGGGCACGGGTCTTCCTATAATACGAGGGGATCAAGCCATAGACCACCACGCTGACCACGTGCGGGTTGGCAGACATCACATGTCTTTCGAAAACTTGCTAGGTTCTTTCAGACAAGCAGGTATACTCACGATGTTATCCTTTGTCGACATTCTGTACCTTTTTTGGATAACATATATTTTATGGTACATAAATAAATAAATAAATAAAAATAATACATAAATTCTATTCACATAATATATATGTTTTTCTTAAATTTTCACTAATGATTATGGCCGATTTTTTACCACTCGACAAATTCTAGTTAATAATTAAAAGCTAAAAATGTGAGATAAAACAACGTTTGTATACAATGTTAAGTAGTTAAAGTAACATTTTATCGTTTCGAAGTTAAACGACATTAAAAAGTTCTCTAATTACGGGCGGAGCCACGGACAAACAGTATTGCAATTTATTGGATCTTTACTTCTATTGTATATAAAATTAATAGAAAATGGACCTTAAAATGTACGAATTAAAGTCGAAAAGCAAATCATTTCTCATTTCAATTAATACGACCTCTTAAATTCAATTTTGAAAGTCCAGACTTAAAAAGTACACATTGTGCTCATTAGCGCTTAGTACTAATGAAGGATGATTAACTATTTTTTGACCGCTCTTCTGAAATTAGCTTGTTTTATTAAAATTAAATTGACTTTTAAGTGGAACTATTGGTCTTGAAAGTAACTTAAGTAAGAACATAATATTAAGCTTATTCAATAAAGATATGGCAAAGAAGTTATTATGTAACTAGCATTGCCCGCGGCTCCGCCCGCATTCAGATGACCAAAAACCAAATTCTTAGGTTTTACATATTAGTATACTCTTACATTGCAGTTTTTGTATTTTTTCTCTCAGAAATGAGACATTTTCCTCCGGTAAAAAGTATCCTAAATGTTGACCCGAATAACCAGCTACCACCATACCAAATTTCATCAAAATCCTTTCAGTGGTTTTGCCGTGATGTGGTAACAGACAGACAGACAAAAATTCTAAAAACTATAGATTCGGCCTCTGTATGAATAATAATGTCTACTTCAATAAGATTTTCCAAAAAATATTTAATGTACAGATTCGGCTTAGTTACAATTTTATTACATGTATAGATGTGAGGTATTACGTCTAAAAATATTTTTTTTATTAGCGGCTCACCCTCGCTACAAAGAAAACAAAGACAATTCTATTCCACGGGATCCGTACATTTTTCCAGGATAAAAAGTAGTCTATCTTTGTTATTCTGGTGTATGAGTATTATTGTAAAGATTCATTAAAATCCTTTTGTGTGAGTGAGTGATAGTTTGTTTCCTTACGTTCGTTTGTTCATTCACTCATTCATTCGTCAATACATCAGGTACATACAATTAATTGTGGTTTAATCTGGTATTGTAAAATATATTTTTTTGTTCCACAAACAACATATAGGTATGAAAATGTAATTATATAACCAAAGCCAGATGTGGTCGCTGGTTTATAATTATTTCCATTACAACTTCATTTATTTAAGTTAATAAACATACTAAATTAGCTACTATATACTTAAATAATATCTTAGGTGTTAATTAGTACGTATAATAAGATGGGCAGAGTATTATTAATTGTTTAACGCGAAGTAAGGTTATCTTTTATCCATCTATACTAGTATTATAAAGAGTGAGAGAGAGAGTGAGTTGGTGAGTTTGTGACGTTGTAGGGAGTAATCTCTAGATCTACTAAAGCGATGTAGATGAAATTTGGCAAGAAAATAGTTTGAGACCCAGAGAAGGACATAGGAACCTTATCCCGGAAATCATGCCTTAAGGGGGTGAAAATGGAGATGAAAGTTTGCAAGCTAGGGACGAACCCGAGCGAAGCGAGGGTGAGTCGCTAGTCTGCTAATAAAATAAAAAGTATATTTTATTACATAATGCGTCTCTAGGTGCCTAACGGGCACTGTTTTTTTTTGTTTATGTTACTTCAGGTCACAATCTATCTGTGTACAAAATTTCATCCAAATCCGTACAACCCTTTCAATCAACATACGTACATATATACAAACTTTCGCATTTATAATAGTAGTCCTATTGATATAGATTAAATATTTTTCGTCTGTCTGTCTATCCGTCCGTCCGTCTGTCTGTCTGTCTGTCTGTTTGTCGGTCTGGGAACGCATCACGATAAAACGGGTTGCCTAATAGTATACCTATGGTTAGGGATCCTTTTACTACATACTACTAAATGTATAGTTACTGTGGCGGACGTGAGGAGAAAATAATAAAGCTTTAATATTAAGCGTTTATTGAAGTGCGTATTGCACTTGCGAGACCAAGCGAGAGACTGTCGAATCAATACATATTCGATTTATAATCTAATGTAATATCTATACTTATATATTATGCTCGTTACAAATCATATTACCTCATGTTACAATAGGTACAATATTCCCCCCTTTTTAAAAAAAATAAGTAAAAAATAATATATAAAGTTATTAAGAATATATAAAAATGAATACATTTTAACGCAAAAAAAAATGTAAAATGTATAAAATTAAATTCTAAACATAAAATATAGTTTGCAAAAAATAATAATATTATTAATACCTAAAAATATCATAATTACATGCTATTACAGTTTCTT